ACTTTGTGATTATGTGTTCTCATGCATCTCCTTATTGTTGGGGATGAGAAGCAGAGGTTTTTGGTCCGTCCAGGTGCCCTCGGAGGGGAGGTCCGAGGCTGAGAAGGCTGCCAAGAAGGCCGCCAAGGCCGCTGCCAAAGCTCAGAAGGAAGCCGAAAAAGCTGCCAAGGTACGATGGTGTAATGAACACAAGCATGCGCGCAGGTTGTATATCGCATAGCCAACTGAGCACGTACCCTGCCACTCTCCGCAGGCCGCAAGCCGGGGCCAGAAGCAGGCATCAGTCACCGAGGCCGACCCGAACGATCCACTTGCCAGCCAGTACGGCGATGTCGAGCTGGTTCAGAGCCAGACGATCTCGGGGAATGTATGGACCAAGGTGGAGAAGTTGGACCCTAGCATCGAAGGCACCACGGTGAGTGCAGTACTTATCGAAGAAGGGACTGTCCTCGTGCATTTGGGCCACCAGCGCACACTGAATCCTCAATCCCATCCCACTCGACCCTGGTGCAGGTCTTGGTAAGAGCACGGGTGCAGACCGTTCGTGGCAAGGGCAAGTCTGCCTTTTTAGTGCTGCGCCAGGAGCTGGCCACCGTGCAGGCCGTCCTCTTTGTCGATGACAACTGTCAGCAAAGGCATGGTCAAGTACGCGTCCGCCATCACCCGGGAGAGCGTGGTGGATGTCACTGGTGTCGTCGTGCGCCCCCTGGCTCCCGTAGAGGGCTGCTCGCAGTCTGAGGTGAGGGGCGAGAGGGATTGGATGAAGGAGGATTAAAAATGTACATACCTACATATTTGGTACAGGGAGAGGTCAGAGGAACCGGGCGTCTAGAGACACATCCCATTGGTTGTTCATCAAGGGTTGAAGATATGTTGGCGTCGAGATGCAGGAGCATGCCGAGAGCTAGATGCCTTCCCACAACGTCCTGCAGGTCGAGCTGAAGGTCACTGCCATTCGATGTGTGGCGCGGGCAGGTCCCCTGCCCTTTGAGATCGCTGATGCTGGTGAGGCGCAAAAAAGCAACGCACCCTGGTGGGAGCTGGGGTTACCTTCCCACTTTGCACAATAGTCTTATTGTTCACTCTTAAAGGCAACACCTCCTTCCCTGATTCCAGCACGTGGTGCAGAGGCCATATCCAAGGCCACGGAAGCTGGCGAGCAGGTCGTCACCGTCTTGCAGGACACGCGTCTGGACAACAGGATCATCGATCTCCGCACCCCCGCCAACCACTCCATCTTCAGGGTTCAGTCTGCGGTCACACAGGTGCAGTGGTCGGTGTGCCTTGTTTTGCTTGGTATCCGTCAGGCTTGACTCCATGAGAGAGACAAGGCTCCCCCTTCAGCGGCATGCCTGACCCCTTTGGGGGACCCTCTGCCTACCTTGTAGCTATTCCGGGAGTTCTTGCTGAAGGAGGACTTTGTGGAGATCCACACCCCAAAGCTCCTCGGTGGTGCCTCTGAGGGCGGCGCATCAGTATTCAAGCTGGATTATATGGGACAGCCAGCCTGCCTCGCTCAGGTGAAGGGTTTCGAGGGAGCAAGGAGTGGACAGGATGGAAATCACTTGCAATTCTAAATGTACTATAGTGTGGCTATGTAGAGTGCAAGCAACACTCATATCAATGTCCCCCATCCCTCATGCAATGTCTGCAGTCGCCACAGTTTTACAAGCAGATGGCCATCTGTTCAGACCTGCCTCGTGTGTTTGAGGTCGGCCCGGTCTTCAGGTGGGCAAAAATATACCAGTGAACGACCAGGATTTCTTACTGTGTATGAGGCTAAAGTCACCCCTCATCCAGTGGTGGATTGCCATGCTGACGCTCCCAAACTTTCCATTCCATTCCACGCCAGGGCTGAGAATTCGTACACGCACCGCCACCTGTGCGAGTTCACTGGTCTTGACATGGAGATGACTATCAACGAGTCCTACCATGAAGTTCTGGATGTAGTAGACAGACTTTTCCACACAATGTTTGAAGTATGCTGGGGGGCTGGGATGACTCTGAAAGTGGCATCTCAATGTTTGGAGTAGTCTGCTCAACGGCCTCTGAGTAATGTGCCACCTCGGTTCAACCTCAACCTTCAAAGTCCCGCTCCCTCATGCGCACCTCTCAATCCACAGGGCCTTAACGAGCGATGTGCACGGGAGTTGACGACCATCAACTCTCAGTACCCCTTTGCTCCGCTGAAGTTCCTGCCAAAGGCACCACGCCTGGAGTTTGCGGAAGGGATCAAGATGCTGCAAGAGGCTGGCCACGATGTGAGTTGCTTCCCGGTGTCCGTGATTCAGTTCCAGCATATCTTTGTGTTTTGCAGTACTTGGCACTATCATCCCTAGAGTGTCGTCAGGCTGACGGCCCTCGCGCCAACCTCGGTTTTTCAGGTTGATCCTTTTGGTGATCTGAACACGGAGCTGGAGCGGGTCCTCGGCAAGATTGTTGCCGAGAAGTACAACACTGGTGCGAGGTTCACCATGCAAGGAGACTTGCTGGGCAAACTCTGGGCTTGCTGCTCCTAGTGTGCGTCTCCAGGTGGGCTGCCCGGTAGGTTTTGCAAACAATGCCAGCTACATCCAGCGTCTCCCTCCCCACCCTGCAGACTTCTACATTCTGCATCGTTACCCTTCTGCTATCCGTCCATTCTACACGATGCCATGCAAGGATGACGAGCGATACTCCTGCTCTTACGACATCTTCATTCGTGGCGAGGAAATCATCTCTGGCGCCCAGGTACATCGCTTTTTAAGTTGGTTTTCGTTTGTGAATCTTAGTTCCCAGTGGCCTCTGAATCGTCTTCTTACCCTACCATGTCACAGAGGATCCACGACCCTTCCCTGCTGGAGAGGAGGGCCAAGGAATGCGGGATTCCTGTGGAGACCATCCAGGCATACGTGGACTCCTTCAAGTATGGTGCCTGGCCTCATGGCGGCATTGGTGTCGGCATGGAACGAGTGGTACGTGTGACCTGGTACAGTTTTGTGGAGGTTTCACCTCGTGCTTCATCACAGGAGGCCAGATCGGCGAAGAGTGCATGCCTGGCATTTGCACCCCCAGCTGATCTCTTGAGTCTCACACAAGCTCCATCCTGCTGTGCAGGTCATGCTCTTCTGTGGCCTGGACAATGTGCGGAAGACGTCGATGTTCCCCAGAGACCCCAAGCGTCTGGCGCCTTGATGAGTTTGGGATGCTCATCGGTGTGCTGGTGTTGCATGACTTTGTCATGTCAGAGGCCAGGGGGGCACGTAGTCGCTCAGGACCTGGATCTCCAAGAGAGAGACAGAGGCAGATTACTTGAGGACGAGCAGTCTCTTGGGTCAGATTCCTCTATATGACAGACCACAGTGAATGCACATGAGTATAGCCAATGGGCCGCAGCCTCCGCCCCGCAGTATCTGTTGTGAGATGTGGCTGCTGTGGCACCCAAGGCTCAGCTTCCGTCCATCCAGGGGTGCCCTTTGGGATGCTGATATCAGCAATCCGTCCCCCGGGCAACCTACTACCAAGGGGCTCTCAACAATCTCCCATCAGTCCGATTGCGCGCCTCGGCCGGATCCCGAGTCTTCATGGCTGCCGAAAGTAGCTCTGGATGCCACCAGGACCTCCTGAATGGCTCTGCTTGACCCGCTTCGGCGGCAGTGATCCGCTGTCATTCCTTGGACCGGCACGATGACTCCCGTCCTGAGGAGGGTGGTGGAGTACGGTATCCCATGATTTCACTGATCCATGTAATGAGCCTACCACTACAGGGCCCGGTCACCGCCTCACCTGGCGCTTACTATGCCCATGCAGGCTGCGGAGTATGGTCTGCCTCCCTCCCATTCCATCTGGTCCCTGGACAATGAAGCTGGCATCATCACGGGCGCCCATGTTCACACGATGCCGATCGCGTACAAATGAGGAGCCTGCTCCCGCCATTGCAACACTGGGACCGGCTCGAGCCAGGTTCACATGCCCATCGCTCCTCACAGAATGTGGTTCCTGCCGTGGAGCTGCCATGTCACAGAGGGCCTGCGGCGCACATCGTGTACTGCCTCATCGATTCAGAACTGAGGAGCCAGGATGTCTATGTGAGAGACCAACTCCGCCACTTTGCATCCCCATCATATAACAAGGCTCACCCTGTCATGGAGCAGGACCTCCACCTCGTCATCACTCGACAGACAGACGACTCCTTCGCCAGCCTTTGTGCTTGACACAGGAGCTGTAGAGGTACATGGCGGGATTTGAGGGATGAGACTGATGTGCGCCAGTCCATTTCATGTTTGATTCCTTGAAAGGCAACTGAGATACAGACCAATGTACCAGCACCTGCAAGAGATGGCACAGAGGTTGCAGGTGTCAGTACACGGACGCCTGGCCTCGCACTGGTCCCTGTATTTGCTGCTGTGGCCTGCGGGTGGCAAGAAAGAACGAAGAGGGGGGATGGTAAGAATATTTTGAAGCAAGCCCAGGTCCGCCACATTGAGGAGCCATGCAACCAAATTCTTGCAAAGTCTCATCTTCTGCTCACTTACGAGCTTGTTACGAAGTGCGCAGGTCTCTCTCTCAAGCTTGATTAGCCGATTCGTGGCCTTCAAGAGCTGGCGGTTGCGCAGGTCTAGCATTCCCTTGAAGAAGCTTGGCGCGGGACAATCCTGTGAGGTGCAATAAGGTGGGGCATGTGTTTGTGACTTGGTGAGGGCTCTTTGGATACAGCAAGGCGTCCAGGCATGCTCTTGCTAAAGCTGACCAGGCAGCCATCCTTGGCAACACACTTGAGCATATGAACAGACACACTTGGGGGCTCCCTGCACCTTTTTGCTCACCAGAGAGGTCAGCAGCTCTAGCTCAGCTTCCAGCTCAGCATCCACAATGTGAGGAGAATCTGCCAGCCTGATTCGCACTGCCCGACTCTCAGACAACCTTCCAGCCTCTTTCTGTGGGAGGTGAGAGTTAAGTTGGTTGCTGCAGAACAGCAAGTGCCTAGCTTGTTCCCACAAGCTCGGAAGTGGGACCACCTCTCGGCTCACCATGGACTGGACATTCTGAGCGAGTCGTTTACACTCCTTCTCTGCGTAGATACATCTATCTCGGGCACATGCTGCCTCGCTTTGCAGAGCTTTGACCCTGGCGTGTCGTGAAGGAAGATTCCATGTGTTGAGTGAACCAATCAATCCTGGCCAAAGTGGTTGGCACTGGCAGACTTGCTGCAAATGCCAGCCTCATCGCCTGGACGAGGGCAGGGCCTACGCCATCAGCACACCTTTCCTTTGACTTCTGCAGAGCTTGGTCCATGCTCCCTGAGAGCTCTTCGACGGCAAGTAGCTTGACTTTGAGCTGCTGTATCTCCCTGTCCTTGTCCAGCAGCTCCGCCCTCCAATGATATTGCTGCACATCACTAGGTCTGGCAGGCGTTCCCTCGCCCGGATCCACGAGCTGAGGGTAGAGACGCCTGATGTCTCTGTTGACATTGCTGATGTCGGCCTGCCATGAAGGAGCTTGGGCGCTTTTTAGAGTGCGTTCAGACAATCATTCACGCCTTCAACCATGAGAACATCCACTGTCTCCATCCAAGGGCTTACCCGGCAGCAGGGACAGCATTTCCTGTATTCAAGGCTTTGAAACAAGCAAGTTGAATGGAATACATGGCCGCAAGTGACAAGGACACTCCAGTCGGGGCAGGTGCTCTTCGACTCGAGACATATGCTGCACTGTAGAGCCATACAGAACTAAGCTCCATCGACTATGACGGACACAGCACGCAATGTTGGCCTTGGAAGCATCGGCATATTCTGGGAACGATGGGT